TCACTCAAACTTCATGGTGGCTTAAATAAGATAGCGCTCTGGTTAAAAGTTGGGCGAATAAAGTCCAGTGAGTCAAAATCTGTCCATTTTGTAACATTCATCCTCAAGCGAGATATCTGCCCGCCCTTCAAACTCAATGGTATATAACGGGTGATTTTTTTGAGGTTAGGATTTTCATGCATTAGTATTTGACAGATCACGTGGGATTTCAGACATGGTGTCAAAGAGAAAGATGCTCAGTATGCTTTGACATTTCATCATGAATAGACTTACTAACGAGCAACGCTTGCAAATCATTGAATTTTATTACCAAAATCAGTGTTCGGTTCGAAATGTGTTTCGCGCCTCAGCGATGAGGCTCATTTCTGGTTGAATGGCTTCGTAAATAAGCAAAATTGCCGCATTTGGAGTGAAGAGCAACCAGAAGCCGTTCAAGAACTGCCCATGCATCCCGAAAAATGCACTGTTTGGTGTGGTTTGTACGCTGGTGGAATCATTGGACCGTATTTTTTCAAAGATGCTGTTGGACGCAACGTTACGGTGAATGGCGATCGCTATCGTTCGATGCTAACAAACTTTTTGTTGCCAAAAATGGAAGAACTGAACTTGGTTGACATGTGGTTTCAACAAGATGGCGCTACATGCCACACAGCTCGCGATTCTATGGCCATTTTGAGGGAAAACTTCGGAGAACAATTCATCTCAAGAAATGGACCGGTAAGTTGGCCACCAAGATCATGCGATTTGACGCCTTTAGACTATTTTTTGTGGGGCTACGTCAAGTCTAAAGTCTACAGAAATAAGCCAGCAACTATTCCAGCTTTGGAAGACAACATTTCCGAAGAAATTCGGGCTATTCCGGCCGAAATGCTCGAAAAAGTTGCCCAAAATTGGACTTTCCGAATGGACCACCTAAGACGCAGCCGCGGTCAACATTTAAATGAAATTATCTTCAAAAAGTAAATGTCATGGACCAATCTAACGTTTCAAATAAAGAACCGATGAGATTTTGCAAATTTTATGCGTTTTTTTTAAAAAAAAGTTATCAAGCTCTTAAAAAATCACCCGTTACATATATACCCCTAAAGCAACGAGACTAAATACCTTGGTATGTACCTTGATAGAAAGTTAACCTGGAGAACGCATATATTTACAAAACGAAAGGCCCTAGGATTTAAACTCACTAACCTGCAATGGCTTATGAATCGTCGCTCTCAATTATCTATTGACAATAAACTTTTCCTATAGTCTACTATTATAAAACCCAACTGGACCTACGGAATTCAGTTGTAGGCGACTGCAGCAAACTCGTAACATAAAAATACTTTAACGATTTCAATCGAAAACTCTCAGACAAATACAGATGGCAATCAAAAATCTATCCTATTGATAAAACAAGTTTGAGGCCGGATCGGAGCGACGAAAGAAAACTATAGGCTCTATAAGGCCAAAGGATGAGCACATACACTCCCTACTTCCCTCTAAAAGCTCTTCAAGACTTTATGGCTGCGATGGGCACCGCCTTGCCCGCGGGCAAAGCTCTTTTAAGCTTCCTATAGATTTTGTAAAGGCGCGTGCAGAGTAAAAGCTCTCTCTGCCCATATCTGACTTATATGACTAAAAGACGTGTTGCGATGGGTAGAGGGCGCAACAGATCCACAAGTTCGCAGTGCAAATCTCTCTTAATTATAAATCTTTATATTTATACTATAACTTGTTTTGACAAATGTGGCAAGCAGCAATGCATCGGCAACAAAGCTGCAAATAACAACTAGATATTGAACATACGCATTTTTATAGTAGATATACGTATAATTTCAGTAGCATTAGCAACACAGCAGTGACAGCAATTGAGTGGGGGTAGGACGGAGTAAAAGTAGGCAGCAGCAGCAGCAGCAACAACTTGTAGAATGTGGCCGAACAGCATTAGAGTTGCATAGAGTGTTTTGAACGTTTAGTGAATACAGGGTCAGCGACGCACGCATGCGCACACAAAAAAGGTAATGACAAACAAAAAAATAAACGGCTGCAACAACAACAAAACGAAAGCAGGCAAGCGACACTGACACTGACAACACGCATTTTCAAGTCATTTTGCTGGTTTGTTTATTTGTGTTTTATTTTGCTGGCGGCAACTTTCGAATTCGGGTATGTTTGATGTGTCGAATCACAAATGGGCGAAGCCAAGGCGAATTAATATAAGGTGGTGTTACTAGCTCAGCTGATTTTGTGTATGTGTTTCGCCGCACGGCTTCTGATATCAAATTGAAAATTTTTTTTTGAATTTCTACACACACTCTTACAGATTTTGACAGTTTATGCCGCCAAAGCAAAAACAAAATACATGTAAATTTTTGTTTTTGTACTCCTGCTATCACCTTATATTAATTCGCCTTGGGCGAAGCGCTTTAATTAATGTACATTTTCAATGGGTAGCATGTTTTTTTTTTTGTATGTAATACACATTTAATTTTCGTTAATTTTATGTAGTACAACGCTTAACAAACGAACGAACGAACGTGCGCGCAATGTTATGTTTGCATGGCTGAGGTTTGCATTGCGCAGTTGCGCAGCTTTTTGTTGTGAATTCAATTTTTTTTTTATACGCGCGCGCTTTTTATATTTTTTTTTTTATATTTTTTTTCGTACATTTTAGTCGTATTTGGTTCAACTGTCAGACGCACAACAACACATTTTGGATTGACAATCGCTTCATGGGGCGGCGGCAGTCAACAACAACAACAACAACAACAATACACACAACACAGTCGCACTGCATCGGCTGGCTAAATAAAAATGCGAACTTGCTGACACTGCAGCGGCAGCAATGCAGCAAACGCATGCAGGCCAGGCGTTCACCGCATGAGTGCTGTTTTTCCCCCTTTTTTTTATTTTTGCCGTCGGCGCCGCACGGTGTTCTGGTTTGGAAAAAAGGAACAAAATTAAATTTCTCGAGAACGAGAAGAGCTAGCGCAAGAAATGTAACTGTATTTTAAAGCGTTTGAGTTAGAGAATTTAGAAAAAAATTAAAATGATCTTCAACAATTTAAGGTTTATTTTTTTTCTTTTATGAAACCAGTAGGCAATGAGCTTTTTAAAAAGTTTTAAACACATATTTTTGCTGCGCTTGCTGGAATGAATCTATTTCGACTGTTGCAAAACCAAAAAAATCTTTTCTATATTTTATTGTTTTTTTTTTTGTTTTACCTAAAAACAGCATGCATGAACTTACAAAAAAACTCATGTTTTTTTTGTGTTTTTCAGACCATGGAAATGTATTTCTTGACGCAAGGAAAGCAAAAATTTGTGTAAACAACTTTTTAAAAAGTTCATTGCAAACTGATTTTAGACCAAAAAAATAAAAAATTCAAACCCGTATATTTTTGAGGGTAATTTTAAAGCTCAAGGTAATAGTTTAATCCAACAAGAAAATTTTTCCTGAATTACACAGCACCACAAACCGATCTAACCCTGCAAAACGTGGCTGAATCCAAATTCGGTGTCCTTTCCACCTCATCAGGTCACGAATAAGGGAAATTCAAGGTCAAAATAAAAAAAATTAAATCATTGGTCGCTGAACCCAAATCACGTGTCTTTGATTTGCCCTTGATTATGATCTGAACAGATTAAACGGACTACGAATTCAAATTCAGCGACCGCGAAAACCGCTATGCATGTACCTGTTATAGTCCATTAACGGCAGATTCTGTGTGTTGGACCTTGAATTGACCTTGATCCTGACCTGATGGGGTCAAACGGACACCAGGTTTGGATTAAATCGCAACCCAAATGTAAGAAGGTGCACATTAGGGCGGGTCGTTTTTTTTTTACTATGCGCGTATAGCATAGGAGAATTCGACGTGTAATTCTAATCAAATTTGTCGAGGAAACCATTGGTCTAAAATTAATTTGGAGTTTGGCAAATTGCGAAAATAGGTTTCGAAGAAAATTTTGAAATTTTCACTGTTTCGCCCCCTGGTTGAAGTTTTAAGAAAAATATAAGAGGAAGAAATGGATTCCTCACACTAAAAAAAAAAACACCTTATAGCATATTTTTATAAAAATTTTAAGCACTTCTTTACGACACTACAGCAAAATGCTAAGAAGCCTATTTTCGCAATTTGGTAGACTCCAAAGTGATTTCTTCGACAAATTTGCTTAGAATTACTAGTAGAATTACTAGTACATACTAATTGACCCGACCTAGTACACATAGTCCTTTTTGTGTTGCAGAGTAAGAGGTGTTTGTGATCATGTGTTATCCACCTCAAAAGCTTTAAAATAGCGTTACTTTCTTTTCACTATCCCTTTCTTTCTATTCTCGGGATAATTACATATGTACCTATTGGATTTTGTCCCTTTTCCTTCAAAGTTGAACACTGTGCGCCGCTGTTGTCGTTGCCGCCCCGTCGTAGCTGTTGCTAGCATTCCTGGGATTGCTGGCCACTTTTATTTTTATTGCGTCCATGTATTTTTGGCTATCGTCTGCAGCTCACACAGCCCACAGCCCACAGCTTTTCGAATTGTGCACTGGCTATGGGGAGCAGCAACTTGAAAATTCGGTTGATTCGCGACGTGCCACTTGTACACTATTCCCTTCGAACTGCTGTGTATTTCGCAATTTTTTCCACCGCACTTGAGTGAATTTGTGTTTACATAGTTATATAGTATATATTACATTTTTTGTGTCTATTGTATGCACATATCGTGATTTTGATTTACAATTCAGCCAGAGCGGCAATAAGCCATAATTGAAATTATCAAAGTGTGATTAGACATAAATTTTCAATTGTCGCAATAAACTCTTAATCACATTTTTATCTATACATATTTCGATTTTACGTAAACACCTTAACTGGTTGTCTTAGATATGTAGTTTTTTTTTTGCGTAAAACACAAAAAGAAACACGAAAAAATGGTGGTTAAAAATTTTCAGCACAAGGTACTGGCACTACATAAATTTGTCGGCATGTACATATGTATGTATGTTTGCTATTTACCGTCGCTCGGATCACAAGACAGGCAGACAGACCAGATACGTTGGGTTGTGATGGGCACGGGCACCTCAACACACTTGGGGCTTAACTGCTTGCCTGGATAATATGTATATACATAGCTTAATCGTTTCGCGCTACCGTTCGCTCGTTTGTCCACTTCTTCGTCGAGTAGGTTCTTTTTATTTACTTTAATTTTACCAATCGCTCCCGTTCACAATAACTTGTTCGCCGTTCGCGTGACCGTCACACATGTGTCGAGTTCAACAGTTGTCTACTAACTGGCCGTCGTCGACTGATTGCTGATCACTTGAGCTGGAGCTGGAGCTAAATGTTGGCTGCTGATTGTCTACATACCTATGACATAGGCTATTGTTGTTGCCGCTATCGCTTTCGTCGCTTTCGTCGTCGTCGGCGTCATCGTCGTCGTCGCCGGCTATCCCGTCAGCATCGATATTACCTGTCATTAATACAATCGCTAGCATTTTCTGATCGACATTTCGGAAGTTGGCTAAAAACCATACGAATTACGCTGATATTGTTGGCTGCATTAGGGTGGCCAGAAAAAGAAATAAAGTAGATGCATACTGACTGCAAAGAAATCCCTCCAAGAAATCCTTATATGCTCTTCTCTTGACCATTAATGTCCTAAGCACCTCTTCTTTCTTCGGCATCTAAGCCTGCAATGACCCGTAAAAATACCAGTAATAATTCTTATCCTCTCCTTGGGGAGTTTTTAATTAGCTTGTATCTCTTTAGATTGTAACGCCCACTCCCCTAAAAAGCTCTTGGCTTGACAAAGTCGCGTGATATTTCGCCATTGTAGTACCCTTTGTTTACTTTTCCCTTTCTGAGCGGCTCCTTTATCGTACTGGAGCCCGGGGTAGGGGTCGGGGTCGGGGTCGAGGCAGCAGCCAGTATGGCTGGCTGATCAGCTGCTCATTCTGCTCAGAAAGAGCTTTAAGCTTCTCGATGCATGACTCCAGAACCAAAGAGGTTTTGACCTCGAAGGATGAGAGAGCCTTAAGTGCCAGCTGACTATCGCGTATTATAAGTACCCTTTACCTTCGCTATTTCCTAAGAAGGTTAATTTCTGCGCAACGAATGATGGCATAAACTTCCGCTTGAAATGTGCTTGGGAAGGTTCTCAAGGCTACTGACAGCTCCAGTCTAGAGCCATATACGCTTGCTCCAATACCCTCAGGGGTCATAGAGCTGTGTGCGTGCCACTGCAGAGTGCGGATGTGTCCCTAAAACATATAGGTACTCCAGGTCGCTTTGCTGTATATATTGACTTTGAAGCTTCTTTCGAAGACCACTACTCTGTGCATATCATCTCTGGGAAATAGCACTATTGGCAGCTGGGAGCCTAGCTTATCCCTGTTCCGCTCTCGTAGCCTTGGAAGTGACCGCCTCCACATGAGTCCTCCACAGGAGTTAACTTTTGTGACAACATTGACCGCGACTCCATCCAAGGCTAAGTTCTTCATCCCCTTGGGAATTCATTTTCTGCTAAAATGGACAATAGCTGTCTTCTTTGCCAGGTTAAGACCTCTTTGAACTATGTCGCAGATGGTACTCGCGACCTTCCCCCTAGCAATGATCACTATGTCGTCTCCGTACCCTTGGTAGCGGAGGCCATTGTCAGTGAGTTTCATAAAGGAAATGAGACTTATCGGCCTGAAAGACTTAGTAAGAGAATAATCCTTCTACCTACTTTCGGAATAAAAATAACCCGGACTCTTTGCCACACCTTGGGTATGTGTAGACTGTCCCTCATACATAAGTAGGCAAGTAGCAGCTCCTCTCCCTGCTTCAACAGAACTGGACTGATGCCATCCACTCGCGGGCATTATACCATTCAAAAGAATCCAACGTCCCTCGTACTGATCGCTGGGTTATTAGGCCTTTGGCCAGTTCCAGTCAGATGAGGATGGCCGAACTGCGCGTAACACCGCATCCCGCGTGGTCTAAATGACATCAGGGAAGTGGGCAGATAGATGAATAAGTACCATCGTGTAGCCTTACATTTGCAAAACCGAATTTGGGGGAAAACGTGGGTCAGCTGAAGCCTAAAAGGGAATGCCAACCGGCGAAGTGTAGTACTAGTCCCGCTGCCCTTGTAAAATGGGACCCACGGCAAGGCTTTGCCGATGATATGGTCTTAATAGCTAGCGGAAAGCTCGAGGGCGCCCTCTGCGCTATGTACAATTCAAAGAGGCCTGAAACTCACGAAAGGGCATTCGAGTGAAATGGCGCTTAACACCAATCCAACAAAAACATCGATAAAATCTTTTAGGGACATGAGATAGCGGACTGAGCCCATTCCTGCGATCAAATAAGTGTTCAGAAGTGAAAGAAGAGCAATGAGAGAAAAACAGGACTACGCTAGGCAAAGTGTCTGAGTAGTTGAGGTATATAGCTTAAAAAACGTCCCAACTTCTAATCAATATCCTAAAGGAGAAAACAAGATTTCTCACAGGCAACCTTGCAAGACGCTGTAGAAAGAGGGGTATTCCACATCTGCGATTCGACCAAAGAGACAACCTTAACCTTCTGATCGAATGCAAATACATCGCAAGAGAAACTTAGGCCACAGTACGAACACATTCACTCCCCACTGCACTTTTGGAGTTTTAATGGCTCTTAGAATTAACAGAAGTATTGTGAAGAGCAGAGGGTACAATAGACCCTTACGTTGCAGTTAAAAGCCTATCTATCTTCCCCTCAAAATTATAGGGCTTCAATGAAATACATATAGGATGATTCAATAAGACCACAGATTTTCCTTATAAAAAAGGACAAAAAAATGTAAATCGAAATGGCTTCTTTTTAGGTCAACATGTTTGTTAATCTGTGGCAATTATATATGAAACGCAATATCCGCTTAGTGCTCCTCTGCAAATACAAGATGCGCATATCAATATTTGCCACGACATTTTAGCATAGTTTGGGACCTATATCATTTATAACGCATATTATTTCGTTCTTCAGCTCTGGAATCGGTCTCTCGGGATTATTGGTATAGTTTTTTCTTGAATGGTATGTGGATTTTCAGTTTCCTAAAAGCGGCAGTTGTGCATTTAACGTATCTGTTTAGGTTAAAATGTATATCATCGCTCTCTATGATTTGTTTTTGTTTTTTGAAAAATCGGCGTCAACTGCTTGTTGTTCAAGCATCCAATTGGTAAATAGGCGGCACTTCAGCTCCTGTGTTAATTGAATTTTGTAGGCGTGTAAATATAGGACTTTTGTTTAAAATTCGCTGAACGGTACTGTGGGAAAGATTAAATTTATTGGCACCATGACGAATTGAAGTTGTCGTGGCCTGGTCCAAAATTTGTTCCACACCTTAAATATTTTCGGTCGAACGACCTGTACGAAACGCAAAGGTGTTTTCACGTTTTGCACCAAACCACTTTCTTCGAATTTTTACTCCAAACAGCTAATTATTGACTCAGATGACCGGTTTTATTGACCGAAAAAATCAAATTTTGCAGAACGACCATTTTTACGCGTTGTTCAACCGACTATCGCTCAATGACTAAATTTGCTTGAACGCGTGTAGAAGAAATTATCTAATAAAAAAATTTACATATCACAAATTATTGCTGTCAAAGATCTGCATCATCCTTGAATCACCTTACATAAGAAGACATTATTTTTTCGTTTTACTTAGTCGCTATAGCTTAGGTTAGATAAGTAGTAGGCTCAGGACTGTGCTATCAGAAAAAAATCAGGGCATTTAGTTTGCCAAATTCACGAAAAATTAAACTGAAGACGGAACCCCTTTGTTCTCCAAACCAAATTTGACAAGATATGACGGAAATATTTTCCAAAATACATAGAGTAACAACATTGAGCTTTTCCTCCATTCCAGTCCACGGGTCTTCTGCGGCAATCTATTAGACAGCGTCTTTAGTCATCATTCCTTTCAGGGATGGACAAAGTATTCTGGAAATCTGATCATTCTTTCCTGAGATGTTTCTGTAGCTAGGAACCCAGGTAACATACATATGTGTGAAATGTCTCGGCCATCTCCTTAGGAGTACGGGAACATTCAGTGGACGCTTTTGTAGTCAGCGAGATGGTTTTTAGGCTGTCCTTGTAAATGTGGATCGAATTACACTACACATCAAAGATAAGCCTTTTCAAATACACATCGGTTCATTCAGAAAAAAAAACTGCAATCATCAGGTATGCGAAGGCAGCATAAACATTAACTCTAAGCTAGCTGTCAGGTTTTGAACTATCCGTGTCGGCATGAAATGATCATGAGGTTCTGACCGCGTCTGTTTTCCAATCTTCCCTTGACAGAAGAACGATTATGAATTTGGTGTTGGTACTTCGGATTGGAGTGGTGTAGGCATTGCGTAGCATTTTGGCGATTGGTCTCTGTGGTTAAGTTGTTTTCAGCTGACGCAGTACACAGCCTAGTTATTTAAATAATAAGCTGTTTCAGCAAGCATAAACTAATGTTGGGTAGTTCTGGAAGTCAAGGTTATACATATCTACGATTTCCTAGAATGGTGTTATGTAATTGACTTAAGTATTCGTCCTCCAAATATGTGCTGTGGGTTTGCTATGCACAGATGCTTACTTAGGATAGGTGCGTGAACTACATCAGGTTATTTTTTCGGTATAGCAGAAAAGACCCTTAGATATGGTCCCGAATTAGTCCCGATATGAACCCGAACTATTCTTGTACTAGCATCAATTGGTCCTGAACAGATCCCGAAATGAACCCAAACTAGCTTCGAAATGGTCCTGAAATAGTTCTGAACAAGCCCCGAAACGGTCGAGAAAGTCGTGATCTTCTCCAGAAATGGTCCCATAGTAGTCCCAAACTAGTTTTGAAATAGGTCGGAAGAAGTCCCGAAATGATCCCGAACTAGACCCGAAATGGTCTATATGATCCTGAACTAGTCCAGAAAATGTCTGCTGGATTGACGCAAACTCTATTCTATTAATGGGCAAAGAATAGTTAAAGAGGTAACACTGTTTCACGTAAGGCAGTCAATATGGCGGAATTAGAGCGAGAAGTTGCCAACTGATAACACCTTGTATTATTGGATCATGAAAATTAGCTAATCTGGTCACCTCAACTTTTAAACATGTTCATACATATATACATACATCCCTGCAAGAAAGATACTGGTCAAATGATTAGTAAAATTACCTGGAGCCATGACTGAAACTTTCCGTATTTTTCCCATCACATTCTTGAGGGCATCGGTAGATTTTGTGACCGTTTCTTTCTTTATGTTCCCGTACGTGTGACTTTACATCTCGCTCTCCCTCATGTCTTGTGCGCTTAGCTAAATGTATAGCTGCACTGCTTACACCCGTCACAGCTACTCTGGTTTTTACTAGTCAAATGACCAAATGTTTTCTTAAGGGATTTACTGGTTTTATGACCGCCATTTTACGGGCATAATGACCGTCGTTTTACAGGCATAATGACCGTCATTTTACGGGCACAATGACCATCATTTTACGGTTGAAATGATCGCCTTTATACGGTTATAACGACCGTCATTTTTCAGGCTTATTGATCGTCATTTTACAGGCTTTATGACCGTCATTTTACGGTTATAAGGACCGCATTTCACCACCATTTCTACTCCCATGTGACTGTTTGTTATAGTCTTAATAAAACACATTTAGGATTTTTAATTGTACTTCTTTCTTTTATTACATTTATTTGAACTTAGTCCATTAAAATCTATGTATTTAGGATATTCACAAGATGCAGTAAGCTTATTATAAAAAGTACTCCTCTTCATTTTTATTTGTAAAATACAGTACTTACTTGCAAATATTAAGCTTCGCAAAACGATTTTCCACCACCGAACGAAAATGCTGCACACAAAAACTGGACTGGACCTGCACAATAAAAGACACAATAAATATACATAGTTTTATAACAATTTTTATCGCTATTTTTACTTACTTGTAAGTTTGGAACAAAGGCACACAAAGCTGATTTTCCACGCTGAATGCAAAATGCAATTTTAATAAAAATGGCCGAACACCGAGCCGCAGAATTCACAAATTTTTAATTGCAACTGCACAATAAAAGATGCATTAAATATACACGGTTTTAAAACAACTTTTATCGCAATTTTTACTTACTTCTATTTGGAACGAAGGCACACAAAGCTTTTATATATACTTCAAATTATTTTCCACCGCTGAAATAAATGTACATAGGTATATTAAAATGACTGAACGCCAAGCCGCACAATTCACAAATTAATTGCAACTCACGATTGCTGTGTTTTGTTCATTTTTCTTTTCGCATAATTTCACCATCCCAATGCATGCAACGTGTGCGAGTGAATAAGATATATTAAAACAGTTTGAAAAATTTTAAGATGTTGTTTCATTCTAAGACTTTTTCGTAGCGAATTCTTACATGTACTATTTATGTATTAGTGACAATCGAAAATTTGTGTGAATGTGTTCTAGTTTCGGTCATTCGAGTTTTGCAGGGATATGTACCACGCACACATTCATATTTAATACATAAATCACATCCAGCTGCAACAGCTGCCGACAGTAGGAAAGGAACAAGAACAACAAGTACCTTGTTTTGCTTATCCAATGCCTGCGTAATTAATTCTCTCCTTCTCCACATCTCTCAATACACACTTGATCAGTTCAGCCAGCTGCCATGCCCCTTCTTTACACGCCAGTAGTACCTAGCTTGATTTTATGCGCGCGCAAGAGTTGATCCACACCATTTTCATCAATGACAGTCGCAACAGCAGCAGTAGGCAGATAAACAAGAGTGGCAACAAAAAAATTCCAATTTTATGTCGAAATAACTTGAGAAAGAATGAATTTATTATTCAATCAGCAACACAATTGACCGCACACATACACATGTTTAACTGCATTCTAAAAACCGCAAAATGCAATCTTTATTGCGAAATCACTTTGTTGCAGTTTTACTTTAGTTTCATATAAATTGTAGTCGCGCACTTCGTGTACAAAAAATAAAAGCAAACAAAGTCATGACAACAACACTGGAGATTTCGATGCTTCATACAAAAAGGTGGTTAGCCTCTTCAAGGATCACTGATTGCCAAGGTGAAGGCGTTTAACATATTTGGCGGTTAAAAACTTTGTGAACGGTATTGCGAATCCACTGGTATAGGTAACTGCTTTTCAAACGGGTTCCGGTTTTTGACAAATTTCTTTTAGCCATCACATTGCATGTATTGTGTAACAAAAAATTTACCGTAGTTAAAACTCCAACGATTTTGCTTGCTACCAGCGCGTGGTAATTAACTGTTGCAGCGCATTATTTTCGTTACATTTTTAATCATTTTTATTCATTCACTAAATTAAGTAATGGGTTTAATAACTTGAACTATTTTTACATTTTCGACATTTCTTTTCTTACACTATTCGCCGGATTTAACTGTCAAAATAGTGAAGACAAAAACCACGCATCTAATGCAATGATGCCAGTAGTGAAAAAAATCAAATTGTGGAAGTCCTTAATATCGTGTTCACATGTGGCGATTTTACAGGCAATTTTAGAGGCGATTAGTTGCATGAACCAATTAGAACAGATCTGACCGGTTGAGAAGCAGCCATTTGTAATAGCAATTGAGAAAAAAGTGTGTGACGTTCGTAATTTAGATGTTTGCTATTTCTGTTTCGCTTCTTTCTTTATGTGAATTTTGTCGGTGGTGAGTGATGGTGTTCAGTGATTTTTTGTGCAAATGTTATTAAAATGAAGTGCGCGGTCATTGGATGCAAAACCACGTACAAAAATAATAAATTGGTTAGCACAAACATGTGCACAACATTGCTTGCATTTTTTCTTTATGCTTCGTCTTCATATTCTTTGTTTACTTTTCACAGAAAATAAAATGGCGCCGAAATTACAAACGTCAGGCAGAAAATTACTTTTTTCTTTTGATTCATCTTGTCAGATCTTGTGTAGTTGGATCATGGATTAGTTGAATCACTAGTTGGCTGCCCCCCAACTTTATTGGAAGCAACTAATTGAAAGGCCGTTCACACCAGTCGCAGTGGAGAAATTTCCTGGGCTGACGGATAACGTTCCAGCTTAGCTATTCAAAGCCATCGACAAGGGTATATATCACGACACCTATATGTTGGACTAGAGGCTGTCAGCTCAAGTTGTTGAGCATCAGCTCCACAACAAAAGCCAAATGCGCGCGGGTAAAGAGCATGCTTTCGAAGTAAGTTATCGTAGGATGCAGTTGCAGAAACCAACTCAACAATGCTCCGCTTTGAAATGATCCGCCTCTAGAATCTGTACGACTGCAGAATAATCCTTCCGATGAATTAGGCACAATATAAAGCAGCGATCTGTAATGCCCATCGAGATGCAGACAATGTGAGATTTAGTAACTGCAACGACGGTTATAGTGCTATAAGATCGGCTGTCGTCGAAAAACGAATGATGGGGTTCGCCGAGTTCGGGAAAAACACCAAGTCATTCCGGCGCGTAGAACAGGCTGTTATGGTGATGTCACAGTCGTGAACACCCTAACAGACCTCTGCTTGAGGAAGAACTTCCGCCCAGTCACGTTAGAAGGTATCTTTTCAAGTATATGGATGCGGGCCAGATATGCATACATTATCCAGCCATTGGACCTGACGACATAACGACGATCATTGGTATTCATAGAAAATAGGTCACCACCAACCGAGACTCCCGTCCTATGAATGTCGTCATCGAAGCTTCGGCTGCTACGGGAGACCAGCGCTACTCTGCCTCAGTTACGGTCAGAATAAGCTTCCGAAAAAGGTCAAGAGCGTCCTAGTCCAGCTCCTTTCGGTGTGGTTTCGCAGACTTTCTCCCTCGGCGAAGCTCAGAAGTGAAAAATATCTGCCCAGAGAGCAAACTTGATTGTCACAACATCCAAAATCTTTTCGCGTGCGCCTCCAACCCAATGGCCCTAGCACCCGCGGCGTTCTCGTCCTCAAACTCACCACTCTCAGTCTGAGCACGGATGCGAGATCAAGAACAACATGGTTTTTCTGTGTTGCAAAAGAAGGGGGGCTGAACACCGTTTGCAGAGAACACCTTTCTGCGTAGGCGGCCTTCGGCCGCACTTAGGGATTGTAACCCTCAAGCTGTAGAATTCTCCTTTCTGTTTTGCGAAAAAAGGAGCTGAACACCTTTTGCAGAGAACACCTTTGTATATTTTTAATGCTTACTGGGTTATATCCTCTCTTCTTTTGTCTCTCATTCTTTTACATATTTTGGAGTTTGACAGCTGAACTCCGCCATTTAACTTGCATATGCAACCAAAGTCAGACGCGTAATTTTGAAGGTGTTTTTATTTAATTAATTGTGATTAATTGGTTAATATTAAGTTCGTAAAGCAAGTTATGGCATAAATGCAGTTGGTCTCCAAATCTCAAATTAAAAAAAAAAAATTGGAATCGATAGAGATGATTGAGCTGAGTATAACGGTATACTTCTTTTTTTGGGCAAACAACAACAAGAATTATCAAAGGTTCAAAATAAGCAATTTTTGAAATCAAGATTTCTCAAAAACGAATGAATGGATTTTGAAAAGTAATAGCAAATTTGATTCCCTTTAATTTGCTATACGTACTTTATATATATGTTGTATAGTTCTTACAAAAATTGAATTAATGTAAAATAATTATAAAAAAAAGCTTGCAAACCCTAAGTGCGGCCGCAGGCCGCCTACGCAGAAAGGTGTTCTCTGCAAAAGGTGTTTTTTTATAATTATTTTACATTAATACAATTTTTGTGGGAACTATGCAACATATATATAAAGTACGTATACCAAATTAAAGGGAATCAAATTTCCTATTAAATGAGATCAAAATCCATCCATCCAGAAATCTTGATTTAAAAAATTGCTTATTTTGAACTTTAACCTTTGATAATTTTTGTTGTTGTTGTTTGCTCACATCCAGTGCATGCATTTCGAAATTGGATCGTAAATGTCTTCTTCTTTGTGCCCAAAACCCAAATCAAATTTATTGGAACAGCGATTTATCAGATATTTTTCAACAAATTTTTTGTGTGAAGTCTTAAAATACACTCTTATTTTTTGTTTCTATCCTATGCTTCTGGCAGCTCTCAATTATTTCGCTTCGCCGTATAGCGAATTTTGCTATTCTCTTGTTTTTCGCCGCACTATAGCAAAATCAAAAGCAGAAAACACAAGGGCCAGAGCAAAAATTGTGAAAATTTTTGTTGAAATTTTATTTTTTGGCCTATAAACATAACAAATAATATTGTGCTGTGTACTTTGCATTTGTTTTAATCAATGATCCTAATGTTTGCAAAATGAAACTAACAATTAAATCGTGGACTGGAGTAGCAACTTGGCGATGGATCGCAAATGATGAAAATTGCGGCATCTGTCGAATGTCATTCGAGAGTAAGTGGCGGAGCTCCATATTATATGCAACCAATATGATTAAATATCAGGTTAAGTAATCTAACACTAATTTCCATTTGCTTTAGGTACCTGTCCGGAGTGTTCGCTACCTGGTGACGATTGTCCTTTAGTGTGGGGCGTGTGCTCTCATTGTTTTCATATGCACTGCATTGTAAAGTGGTTGAATTTGCAAACTATGAATAAGCAGTGCCCTATGTGCCGACAAAGCTGGAAGTTTAATATACATTAAGAACGCCGGACGTTGGCTTGCAACAAAAATTTCGTAAAAGTCATAAATGAATACTGAATGCGAGTTAAACGCGCAAATTTAATAACAATAAATTTATATAGATATTTAAAATTTAAACGGCATATGAGATTAGCAAGGGAACGTTCACGAGAGCGTGAAATGGATAGCGAATTGAATAAATTATCTTTACCGGGCCTGCCACCACTGCCAAAAAGTCTGAGCACAGCAGCTGCAGGTGTTTCGTCGGCAAACTCATCCGCAACGCACTCGAATACTGCTTCGCCGTTAAATCACCACCACCATGGACTGCATGGTGTCGAAAGTGTGGATCTCTTTTTGGGACCGTCCACATCGGCGGCAGCCACGCGCAACCACTATCGACACGGCAGCCTATCGTCAACGCAGGAGTCGTTAAGCGATCGAGAAAGTATACACAGTCGCGCATCTTCATCACACAGCAGTCATCATACACCTACAAACACACATACCGACAACGGGTCGATTTCGATGGGTGGAGGCAGTGTGAGTGGCAGTAGCAGTACTAGCACATTGGACACACAACTAGCCATACTGCGTCGTGAAATGTATGGTTTGCGGCAGTTAGATCTTTCACTACTCTCACAATTATGGGCACTCAACGAATCAATTCAGGGATTTCGTGTATTCTTACAAGAACAGGAGGCGCTATCGCCGCCATCTCCCTCACCTACGCCATCCGATACGAATTCGCTTACATCCGAAGCCGAGGAGGAGTCTTATTCAGCGCAGCCCTTAAAGCTAGCACATCCCATTGCAGTGCCAGCAACATTACCACCTGGTGGCTCGATTACGTCGCACGCTTCCACAAGTTCAGCGTCGGGTACATCAGGCTCGTCATCGGCTACCTCCTCGATGGGCAAGCACATACCAAGCGGTATGCCTTTGCCGCCAGCACCGCAAAAGACACACCCTCAGCTGCCACGTATCCTGCAGCAACGTATGCGACGAGCACCGCCGCCACCACCGCCAACAACACGACCCAAACTTGGTAGGGACGTCATAGTGGCAGCAGCCAATGCTGCAGCAGCAGCAACAACAGCGACACCAGTGCCGCAAAGACCAGTATGACAAAACCCATTCTTGGATTAAGCATAGACACGCAGCATGCGAAGTGTTTTATTTGCTTAATCCAAGAATGTTGCGCAAAAACAAATTGTATTTGGTAAACTGCTAATGCGTTTGTGAGACAACGCGCGCTGGAACGGAGTGGCGGGCGTTAGCGTCAGTTACGCGGCTGCATGGTTGATAGTCGTGGTAGTTGAAGAGACGAACGTTGTCAATTATGTCTTGCAATTGCAATGCCATTGGGAAAGAGGACGGGAGAGGAACGTAGGAACGTAAGGAGAGAGGTGAAGCGTAATTATGAATAAATAATCAAACAAATATTCAGAGAATTTTCAATTAGCTGTTTCTGCGGACTTTGGAGATGTATTTAGCAAACACGGCAACAGTAGTCAACGTGTCCAGTAATTGTGGAGCATATTCGGCAATTAAGTTTATACAATTAATGCGTTCCATGAGATTGTATGTAGTATGTAAGCGAGTAAGTTAATCAAAAAGGTGACAGATAAGTGTTGTACTGTACACATAATCTCGATTATTGCTGTTAATGGATTGAACTATCATACACATATAACGAATTGAATATCAAACTTTTTAGATATACGCAAATTATTTGTTAATGCATACATGCATATATATAAACTATTAGAAGCAAAACTTTACAGGTTTTTTACTATACATCCACATGCACTACATTGACATGAACTTGAAACACATTTGTAACCTAGACATTGCATCCTAATGCTATACTGCATTTACTTGAAGGGATGATGACTCTTGTTGGTTACTTTTTTCGTTGCTAGTTATAGTTGAAACTATCGAAAAAGACGATAACCATGACCTTAGTTGATTTTAGCCAAATACATACAACCTTACACACAGAAATACTTACATACGTATGTATGCATATATGTAAGTATTTACACCCAAAGCGAAGTAGTACTAGACGTTCAATTCACATTCACATTCACAACTTGCAATCAATTATTAACTCCATACATAAATAACGAATAAATGAGAATCATGATTACATAAATACATACATATATTGCGAATTACATCGATCTTAATACATACATATTTAAATTATAAATTTATAAAGCATAGTGCATTAAAAAGTATGGACGCTGACAGCAGTATAGTAGTAAAGTAAGCCCCATTATGAATGTTGGCAGTTATAAAAAATACAATATGAACCCCCATATACATATGAAAGCTAAATAAAATGAATCAACTTAACGCATTCGCATAGGCACATACGTAAAATAAAAAATAAAAATATCTATTAAATAAATAAAAGAATGAACTAAGCTAAGCTAAACCTAATCTTGTTCTCGTTCAATCGTTATAATCAAGCTCCTGTAATAAAACAACAAAAACGTTCTATCCTACTAATTTTTATGAAAGCATATTCCTTCTAAATATCTTTAAGCTAGACTCATGTGCTCACAAAGAACGGCCAAACCAGGAAAATTTTCTTTATTCAAAATTAAAAGTAGTTTACTTCCTTGTAGGCCACTTTTACTATATGATTTAACGACGCTAGGCAGAGAGCACGCTAAATTATATAATTTCCTAAAAATATTTTGTTCTCCAAAAATTTTTGAGCCACACCTATGCATATTTACTACTAAATCTATTATAACTTATTAAATTATAAATCATAAAAATAGAATCAAAAGAATCAAATGTGAGAAATGGGGAAATGTTAATATAAATTATGCAATAAATTATTAAACCAAAACCAAAAGGGGAAAGCATTTGGATATTTAAACGTAAGGAGCTAATCACGGCTATCACGGAATCCATCGTAGTCTAATTTTTCGTGAAATCAAAAATACTTTTGCTGTACCAAAGTACCTCTACAACCCACCATCGCTCCAACCACACACAGACATCACCTTCCTCGCATACACTGACAAGGATAAAGCACGTATAGCATATAAAGTTTGATTCCAAGAAACACTAATACGCTATACAAGTAGGGAAATCTAAGCTGCAGCAAACAATGGAAAAATTTCCTAGTGATAGGGTAGTCGCGATTGATCTTTCGAAAGCCTTCGGCACAGTCGACCATGCTACGCTCTTCCAGAACAGGTGGGTCACCAACTATCTGTGCGAGTGACAGACTTCGGGCTGTTCAATCTTCTCTAGTGTTACCTTAGTGACTTAACGTCCGACTCCACCATCTTGTCGACGGGCCAAACCATGACAGCCTTTGGAGAAGATTGCTGTATGTCTCTCCCACCTTGCTATATTCTTCATTGCCAGGAACTTACAACCCAAGAACGCTCTGATTCGTAACAAACTGCCACCCAGAAACATGAGAAGGCACCTACTCGGCTAGACGGACGACGGTAAGCCGCATCGCCTCCTTTCGGGAAAGAGGCGTATAGAAAAGCCTTGAATGATTTATTCTTGTTGCTACTACAGCAACAACGTGGTGATGGATTCAACTGAAATTTGCTACTCTATCAAAAAAATGTACATACAATTACATAAAATAAGGAATATTTATAGTTTAAATTTTTTCGTTTCTTTTTGTTTAATGCTAAATCAAACATTCTATGTACTACAAAGTTCCAATACTACAGCCATAAAATGCATTGCAGATAGATTTTTTAATTCTAGAAATTTCATACTCGCACTCCAACATTTGATAATCTTGCAGCCAATACTCTTACTTGCTTTTTAGCTAATAAATGCAGTCAATACTAGTGTAGTGTGCAATTGATACATTTAGAAGACAGCTTAAGAACTGGTTACATTAGGAAAAATAGTAACTTATTCTAAAATTATTTTTGCTTCCTTGCCATCGACATAAATTTTCAAACCATTACGTAGGCAGAAATCACGTTTTACATGGGCAAACAACAGATCGGTGACCAAAAATATCTGTGGATAAAATAGTAGAAGATCAAAAATATGTATATTCACCAAAAATATTTTTATTCTTACCTGTCCGGTGGAGAAAGCCAACGTCGTACCAAAGTAGAAATTGGCATTTGCTGAACCGGAATAAATCCATAATTGCCAAAGGGCCGGCATCATTGATAAGGTGACCACAAAGAAGCAAAACACTACGAAATTATGCGCCATGACTGCAAGAAGAGTTTTTATTATATGAAAATTTCTTATGATTTTCTTACACTTACATTTCCAGCATCTTCGCCACAGCGGCAGAAGTGCTAAGTAGAAACTGACATCACCAACACTAGGATACGAACGGAATATGGACATTAATGCTATGAGCACGGTTGCCAGCAGTAATGGCTCTTTGCGCAATTTAAGTGACAATGGCACAAGGTAAAGGACAGTAGCGTTCATTTGAAATGTGATGAGGAACATTGTGCGGAAATGTTCAAACATTTCCGTGAAAAAGTACCAGAAAAGACCGATATTTGGTTGCAGATCGCGATAGAAGAAACTGTTTACGAGAAAAGTATGGCTTATACTAAATATTATGGTTAGTAAGAAAAGAAATCCGACACTTACATGAAACCCAGTGTGGCATCTAAAAAGTTCCAGCTTTGCATTAAAGCATAATTAACGCCAGTGATAGCGAAGCAGGCTGCACCAAATAATGCCACTACACCTATGGCACTGGATGTAGGCGCTTTTGATCGTTGTGTGAAGACTAACACAACTGGCGCTATTAGTACCAGCGGATATAAGTTACGCATTGTTTCCAGCGCTAAGCAGCATATACAGGGCAGTAGATAGCGATGCACCAAGAAGTATAAGGTAAGCGCTAACAAAAAATTACTAAATACTGTCGATGTTAGCCCAGCACAACTGAGCAATGACAATGGATTGAATAGATATGCGAGTAATACACAACGCGGGACTACATCCATGTCGGACTTTTGGAACTGTAACTCCTCTGTATCGCGTGCAAATTCAAATATTTGTTCTCTTTGCTCTAATAATTTAGAGCTCACGAATTTTTTCGCCATCTTATATAGTAGCGTTGCTGTTAGCAGATCAAGTACATTATAAAGCAACGGCATAAAATTTGATACGGATCCAAAAATACGCACGAGTAGCACCAGCACTACAGGCAGCTCATGCACTACATCACCCGCATACGGATCAATACCATTTTCGTAAAGATATATACCCTCTTGCACTGTGTGGAGAAATATAACAAATTATTGAATATTAGACGAGTGAATCTGACTGACCTCGCTTGAATGAGTTAATAGGCGTGGACACTTCCACACGTTCACCGATCGAATGAAAACTCTGTAGGTAATAGCGGACGATACCACCAAGCACCAGCAATAGGACTACGCTCTTTTCCATATTCTTTCAGGGATTTGTATGGACTTTCTATGTACCGGCAAACTTTTCTTCAGGACGCCAATTGGACAAACAAATTCTGACAGCTAAAATCGCAATAGTTTTTGATCATCAGAGTTGCCGTGACAAAAATATTTTTTCTACCAAAATGCCCACTCGGAATGTACCAAAATTCTTTTTTTTTTGACTTTGGGTAGGTTGGCCGGTTTTCACCATCGCCAGGTTATTCCTCTGCTTTTAATATATATCTTCATATGTATATGTTATATTCCATTGATGCGTCCAAACGTTGCTCCACTGATACACATATAGTAATACCACTGAGGGCCAGAACCACGTGCAAAAGTTTCTGCTAATATTTATATCATGCGTCTTATAATTTTCAATTCTTTATCATTTATATCAATTATTATTATTATTGTGTATTGTGTTTTAATGGTCCACAAGTAATCAGGTTATTCCTCTAGTTTAATAATTATTGGTTATATGTCAAATATATTATTCAGATTGTATTTGAATGGCTGGGAACTAAGTCCTCATGTCGCCAGGTTATTCCTCCAGTTTGATAATTGATTGTGTTTTGATGGCAGAGAACTACGTCCTCATATCGCCAGGTTATTCCTCCAATTTGATACTTTTATAGTTATTCGTATACCAAAATTCAAGAAAACTTTAGCTGTTTTGTACAAGGCGGAGGAAAATCAAAATATTTTGAAGTTCTGAGTTAGAAAGAGCTGTTCATGAAGGGCTGGATAAATCGCGATGACAGTCGGATCACATTCGCTCGAAAAATTCTTGTCCAAGAAACAAAAGCAACAAAAATCTAGAGAAGTAAGCATTCAAGTAAAACTGATTGAGAGTTATATTCACTTAAAGCGATCCGTTTTTCTATAAATTTTATTTTTATTATGTAGGTTCTTATGAAAACAAAGCACTCATAGATTTCATATACAACGTGAATACATATTCATCGGAACACTTTTTATTGCATTTTTAAGGCGTTTTTGGGGTTAAGTCTATAATGGGAGGTATGCTTTATAATAAATCGATCCCGCCAATTCTTCCTTTTTTCTTTATTTATGTCCATAAATGTTGCATGCAGAAAGTTGAGGTCTACGACGATTCCTTCTACTTTTTTCCAAAAAAATTTATGTTAGGAGTGTCCTGCTGGGATTGAAAAATTTTCACAAAATATTAAGCCATCTGGCAGCACCTTGCTATTTTTATTTTAAGGTACGGCAGCTTTTCGTTTAAATTGATTGTGAATGGTTGGAAGTGTAAGAAGCTGTTTTATTTACATCTATTTTTTGCACTTGGAGTTATTTTGAGTAATTTCTAATTAAAAGCGTTTTAATTTTAAATATTAGTTAAAATGGCCAGTGTGACCAAAGGCTTACTCAGTGAGGATGAAACTTTTATTGAAATTGATAAGGAATTTAAGGAAATTACAGATGATCCGACACAATTTCTACTGGTGTAAGTATTGCACGTGGTGTTCCATATATGCACCATATGTACAAAAACAAAACAAACTACTAATTCCTACAACTTATAGCGTCCCACCTAAGAAGCAAGAGGACATAAAATCTCTGCTGCAGAAAACATACAAAGCTTGTGTAAAAAATGATGAAACGATCAAGAATGCGCCGGAAATACTACCGGAGTTATTTGTGGAGGACATGGATGAGGAACAGATCTGGCAGCAGCTAGAATTACGAAACAATACAGTATTCTCAGCTTTATTAGAAAATGCATCCAAGCTGCTGTCATTGCGCGAAGAAAAATTGGAAGTGCGACTGGATGAAGATGAGAACCAAGAGGGTGGAGAAGAGGATTCAGTTGAAAGTGAAGATGAAACAGAGATGAACGATGATGAACATGAATTATTTAGTGGTGAAGATGATGAGGAAGACGAAGAGCAATTAGTCAATCTAAGCGGGAAGGAATCCAAGAAGAAAAGAAAGCTGCGTTCGTCTGTAGTGGACGACAAATTCTTTAAGTTGAGTGAAATGGAGGAATTTCTTGAGGAAGAAGACGCCAAAGAGATGCGACGAAACAAGCGAAAAACGGAAGATTCTATAGACGCTGGGGTTAATTATTTTGCTGAGGACTTGGGAATAGAGGATGATGATGACGACAACGAAGCAGAAGCTAATCCAACATACAAAGATTTCTTCGATGAAGATGGCGAAGAAAATGAAGGTACGAAAGAGCCTGTGAAGGACCATTTCAAAGATGAGCCTAGTAAAGACGAGATAGAAGAAACCCAGGAGGAGAAGGCAGAGGACTCTGAAGAAGTGGAAGAGGAAGACGGAGAAATTGAGAAACTTAAAAATGATGATGGTGACAGTAATGAAGATGTTTCCACCAAAGAAGCCTTGCAAACCGCCTCCTCAGGTACTGATGATTCGGAAGATGATGCGGGCGCCAGAGAAGAGCAGCCACAATCATCATTCGAAATACGACAGGCGCGTTTGATGCAGCGCATACGAGAATATGAAGACGAAGTGCTGGGCACGAAGCCCTGGCAATTGAAGGGAGAGGTTCAGGCCCAGAGCAGACCAGCCAACTCACTGCTGGAAGAGTTTCTCGAGTTCGATTCAACAGTACGCCCGGCCCCCATCATGACTGAACAAACAAATCTCTGCTTGGAGGATATCATAAAGCAACGCATCAGAGACCAAGCCTGGGATGATCCACAGCCCAAAATAAGGCCGGTGCAGTCGCCGCATGAATTCCGTAAACAATTGATTTTAGACCAAGAAAAATCCAAGGAATCATTGGCGCAAGTATATGAGAAAGAATACCAAAAAGAATTGGATAAATTGGATCCAAATCGTGGTGATGTTGCTGCGGAGGAATCCAAGGAGCACAAAGAAATTAAACAACTTATGCGTTCACTATTCATTAAATTAGATGCGCTATCTAATTTCCATTTCACACCCAAACCAGTCGCGCCAGAAGCTAAGATAATAACAAACACACCAGCCGTGGCAATGGAAGAGGTTGCGCCTGTGGTCGTAAGTGATGCTAAATTGCTAGCGCCCGAGGAAGTGTATCGGGGTCCCAAGCATGAATTACTTGGCAAGACGGAACGTAATCGTACGGACAAGAACCGCGAACGCCGCAAGAAGAAACAAAAACAACGGGTTATTAATCGGGTGTTAGAAGAGAAGAACAAGAAAAAGCAGGAGCTGGGCATTGCGCCAACAAAGAAAGAGGAGAACGCGAAGCTGCTGAAGTCGCTAACAAAGCATCGCAATGTCGAAAAGGTAAAGTAGATTTTTTTATTAAATTGCTTTGACGATTTTATTCTATGAGCTGATCTTCATTTTACTTGCAGTTGAACGCAACCAGCGACGATCATCGCGCGCTAAAGTCGTCCAAGTCATTCTTCTCGAAATTGCAAGATACAACAAGCGGTGCGGGACAAGCTGCCCTAGCAGCAAAAGCCAAGAAGCAGAAATCCACTGGGAAGGCGATGACAGCGAAACGAGTGAAACTGTAACAATATTGCAGACTTTTTTTGTTAGTAATAAAAAGTTGAGTTTTATTATATTAGCTATGTATAACCTACAAGAATTTATTTGTTGCACTATTGCCTGGGTTAATTCTGTAGGATATGCGTATTTGCTTTACTTATTTTGTTTGCGATTATTGTGCTATTAATTTTGACGTCAATATACATATTCATTTCTAATGTAGCAATTTTGTGCTGTGGTCAAAGTCACGTGCCACAGCAATTAGCCTGCGTTCACAGGAGAATCACTCATTCACTTTATGCTGCGCGCGCCGGTAAACTTGGCTAAGAGCAAAGTAGCTTTTGAATAGGTGTGTATGTATGTATGTTTGAGCAAATTGTGTCTTCAGTTGGAAGCCGCATGGGGCAATCGTTGTTAGAAAACGCAGATCATTAACTTATATACGTTTCATTTTTAGCCACAACACAGTAGATTTTGTGAAGACGACCATAGGGGTCGCAAAAACTATGTGCGCGTGTCATGCAGAAATAAGATGGGCATACAGATACATATGTACATATGTGTGTGCTTGCAGAAGTGGAAAGGGTGCAGCAATCAAAAATTTTTTTTCTTAGAACTGCAAACACGCGCTGAAAATTGGCGAAGGAATAGCAAATGCGTAGGCTGATATTGAAATAAGTACATTCATGTGTTGTTAAGCGTTTTAAGATAACGCCGGCCGTTAAAAATAGGTTAATTGAAGTAAGTTTAGATAAATATAGTTACCATGTAACATCAGTGGAAAATTCATCTTAAAGCAACGCGCCATAGCCCACTCACTTATCAAAATGTATGTATGTATGCAGTTTTAATTAATTCATTGATAATTGCAATTTTATTCTTATAGCCGATAGCTTCAATGGACTGTACAGATGTTTATTATATATTCATATGCTTGCAACAGCTCTTTTATTAATACATAATACTATCTCATATTATGCATTGCCATATGTACATACATACCTACATACATATCGTCGTTTAAAGTACAAAACCGCGTATCAACAAAATGCAAAACCGCGTATCAAGATAAGATAAAAGCGATGTGAGGTTGCAAAAATTATTTTCGAGAGGGTAAAAACACTCATATTTCAAAATGGTTCTCTTATTTTTTTTATAAAGCAATCGCATATCTGGCTAGTATATTTCAGGACGAATGGCTAAGGATTGAGCCAAGAGCTGGTGTAAGCAAATCAAATTTTTGGCAGCAAATGTCAGTTACGCGGTTTTGTACTTTAAACGACGATATGTATCTGTCTGCTAAATTTTTCAACGCATTCAGGTGCAATATATGGCGCTATGCCGCCGGTAAAATTGTCCCTACTTTCTGCTGATATCTTGTATACCATATTGTCGGCTATTATCTTTGTTCTTCATCAATGAGAATTACATATTTATACAAATGTATGTATGTAAAGCAGGGGTCACACAATTTGTACATTTGCATATTCGGCAGTCACAGAGAATGTATCGAGAATGAGTTCAGCACAATAAAAAAATATCAAAGAACACCTCTCTGTAATTGTGAAAATGTATAAATCTGTACAAATGTACAAATCGTGTGATCCCTGCTTAAGTATGTACAATAAATATCAAATCAATTGAGTTTGAAAATCCATGTCAAGTTAAGCGTGCCTCTTGTCTTTATTATTGTCGTAAAAGGCGTCAGAATTAATTTGCAATAACAGTTATTGATATTTCTGACGCAGGACATGGATACTTGCACATATGTACATACATATATAATTGTACTTAAATATGTACAAATGCAGAAAGTGCATTTTTTTTTTCGAACTACTAGTAGTTCATATCTATGCTGTCAGGTATGAATGTATGTATTCAAATGATAATTCCACTTCGCCTGTTTTAAAAATGCGAATTCATAAGGTGGTATCGATTCAACAAATACAACAATTACTTGTATTTTATTTTTGTTTTTAGCGGGCCATTGTCAAATTTCCACAATTTTTCCCCGAATGAAAAAGGGCGACAGAAAATGCAAACAACCTCACGTTTTCCCTTATTCACCAGCAAAATACAAAATTTGAACAATCAAACGCTACTCACAGCTGATGAAACAACACAACCTAATATAAATTCGCCTTGGCTATTAGGAAAGTTTTTATACAATTAAAATAATTTCGTTAGCTGAAAAAATCTAAAAAGACATAACCGATTCACCCTTCGTCAGGAGTACCTTGCAGTTAGTTGCACATGCTTAGTTTTTTGGCTAGCGGCCATCTGCTTAAGAGTAAGTCCCTTCTACCTCAGTGAGGCCGAGCCGGAGGGCGCCTTCCTTAAACGAATTGCAGGCCAGGCAGACGCAACTAAAAAGCGAAATGAGGAATTGTCGATCGCTGGGGCTTCCTCTCTCCAATAGGAACTCATAGGAATTTATCTGAGTGGTCCACATTCGTCAAGCATTTTTAGAGACAAAACCAGCAAACCGAGGCGAATTAAACAGGGGTTTCCACAGGGTGGTGTCCTTTCCCCGTTGCTGTTTAATTTTTACATATCAAAGCTCCCTCAACTCTCTTATGCTGACGACTGCTCGATATTCGCGTCTGGGAATGGAACTGATGACCTCTGTTTAAAAGTAAACGGCTATCTCTCCGATACTTCTCGCTTCTTAACTGCAAGGAGCGTAACACTCTCCCCACCGAAATTAACGACCTGGACGAAGGAGGTCCGGGTTCAACTAGACTACTCCGCGCACACAAGCGTACTTGTTAACAAAGTACAGAGCCGCAACAAGGTCCTCAAGTCGCTCGCCGGCAGCAACTTGGGTAGAGACAAAGAAACGTTGCTGGCAACACACAATGCAATTGGCTGGCCGGTTCCGAACTATGCTGTGCCTGTTGGGTCGCCGGGGACTTGTTGGACGCGGTGGACGAAGGTACAGACTTGTCAGAGCACCTCATTCCGGCCAGCGACAGGATGCCTTCTGATGTTGACTGAGCACCACCTGCAAGCGGTTTCTAGTGGGATGTCACAGACTTGAGCGGCCCAATAGATCCTTGCTCGACCAGGAGCCGTCATGTGGAGACTCCACGCACGACACCAACGATCTCTTCTTACTCCAGCTCAATCCCACTCAAGTAACACCCCTCTCCCTTTGATTCGACTTCATAAAATCAATCCATTACAAGCAGCGCATGCTGGCGGCCTTCTTTGATATAGACGGGGGCCTTCAAGAAAATTACAATCGAAGCAATTGTTCGATCCCTTGTAAAGGTGGGAATATCTAACCACATATGCGAGTGGGTCGAGTAAATGCTTAGAAACAGAATTACAATTTCAGCTATCGGTTCACCTAAACTGTCCAGTTATGCAAATAGAAGCATTCCCCAAGGGGAGTTCTGTCTCCGCTACTATGAGTGGCACTGAACGACATTCTACTAGACCTCAACAAAGGTGGAGTGAAGGTAGTAATCGACTCAATGATTAGTGGAATCCTAAAGCGAGCTTTGTTCAGGCAAAACATCAGGGACCAAGAAAAAAAAAACGACACACTTCAAGCTTCCTTCCGTTAATAGAACGACTCCAACATTGTCCGCCGAGGCGAAATACTTAGATGTCGTAGTTGATACCGAACGGAGCTGGAAGACAAATACCGAGAGGCGCGCCAAGAGCGCCTAGAGAGCCTACATATCTTATACATGCAAGACAATATTCATTAGGGGCTGGATACTAAACCCAAAGCTTGTCCCCTGTATGTACGGTGCGTTAGTTTGGTGGCCAGCACTAGATAAACAATACAAAGTCAGGAAATTAAGCAGTATACAAAAAACAGCTTGTGTAGGTGCTACACGAGCAATTAAGTCGTGTCCATCTGATGTGCTTAATGTGAGCCTGCATCAACTGCCCATATAACTCCACATCCGCGAAACTATTGAGCTCTCGGCAATCATACGCAAGGAGTCACGCTGCTAGAGAGCTGGTATTCTCGACAATATTATCGAAACAACGAAACAATCAGACCATATAACTCCAACTTCAGGACGGAATCAGAGTAGGGGCAGGATAGTTGCGCAGAGTCCAACGAAATCTATACTGACTGCGATGCTGAATGTCTCTCTCGTTCCGAATACCGAACTTTGCTGGCATCTTCCCATCGGAAGTACTGGGAATCGAAAGGACCTGCAAAGCATTAGAGAGAACCTGCGCAGGGGTACAAAAGCATATATTTTCTCATTTAGTCAAGCTCGACGGCCGAGTCAATAAACATCTCTCTCATCTGGGTTCCCGGCCATGGAATTGTACATCTAAATGAGAGGGCTGTCGACTTGGGTAAGGTCGTAGCATCTCTTGCTGAATCCGAAGTAGAGACAATAAACCGTCCACTCGAACTCTTCAAAAAGGAACTGCACTTGCAATTCGACGTATGGCTGATACATGTTGGAAAACCTTTCAAACCTTGAAAACTGCGAGGACTGTATGGCGGCATTAGGACAAACCAAAGACAGAAACAACAACAACTACCGTTATTCAGCTTAAAACAAAAAGTTGTGCCACTTAATCACGTATACGACACGAACTAATTTAATAATGTTAAAATGAGATAGGTCAAATTAAGGCTAATAAAATTTTCCATAAACTATATAAACATCACTTTCCGATAGGACTGATCGTTTCTGTCAAATTAATTTATCATTCCAGTTTTTTTTTTTAATTTTAATGAGAAAATGAAAAAAATCAAACTTTAACAGAAGAAAAATTAAATTAATAACAGGTTCTGTGCCAAATTTTAGCAATTGTGCTAAACCCTCTTCTGTTAAAAAAAAATCAAGTTACTAATGAAGAAAATCGATGGATAAATAAAAAAAGTAGTGAGTGGTCAAATGAAAATGACCAAAGATTTTTTGTATGAAATATGAGCAGAAAAGCATGCTACTCAGATGTACGTGCCGTATGAGTAACTTTCTACTTCTAACCACCTCTAGTCTAACCCCTAAACTACATTTTCAGTTCCTTCTTACCTTTCCATATACATACACTCAAAAAAAATATAAAAAATTGTGTAAATTTCGTAGCTAAAGT